AGGGTATCGGAATTCCTGTGGTACCAAGAAGGGATCTGTTACCAATCCAGTAGCTAAGGCCACAGTTACTGAAGCAGACAGTACTGATGATGATGACTGCACTGCAGTTGAAGATGACATGGTTGTTTGTTTGGTACGGGTGGATTTGATACCCATCAGCACCAGCCCCTACATAACTCGATGGTGCCCTATGCTCGCTCTCCTTGCTGGTAGAGAGTATCAGGGCCCTATCAGAGTCATGTCTCTTCTCCTTGGAGCTGTGGGGCTTCGTGGCAGAGTCCTTGGCCTCAATGATACCCTGGGAAACAACATACTTGGCCAGGAACCTAGTGTTTTTTTGAAGCTGGCTCCTTGGAGTGAAGGTCTTCCCAGAAGCCTCCACAATCTTCCCTTCCTTAGGGGAAGCTTGCCGCTCAGACTGGATCTGTCTGAGACAGATGTGCGAGCGCCAGTCGGGTCTCCTGACCTGGTTGTGGTTCCAGGGTGTATTTTATCACAGTCTTAGCTTCATCTTCCTGTTCTTCCTTGCCCTAGACTTGAGGGCCAAGCAGAAGTTACACTTCTGGGAAACATGGAACTGCCCCAAGCAATGGATACACTTAGAGTGACTGTCGCTTATAGGAATAGCTCACTGGCAGGAAAGGCAGCACTTGAAGTCTGGCGAGCCTGGCATTCCCTGCCAGGAAAACAAGATTCCTCGAGGGGAAAAAAGAAAAAGAAAACAAAACAATCCATCACGACCTATACAAACTAACTATAGCTATCCTACCAACTGCTAGACTAAGTATCTTAACACTAAGGGAAAAAATGGAAAGGCCAAGGCATGCTCAAGGCCCAGGCAGTTGAGAAGGAACTCAGGGCAGTTCACCCACATGCCCCTATACAGCCTGCTTAGAGCACATGTGTAGGCCAAATGTATACTTTTAGCTGAAAATCTCCACTCAAGGGCTCAAGAGGCACATGCACACCTGAGTTGGACCACTCACAGGGACTAGCAAAAACAAATGCAGGGAGAACCTGAGTTACAGAGGTCATTGAAATATTTTTTCAATGGGATCCAGGGACATTTGACAGAACAGCTTAAGATGGGACACCAAATCAGTGGTAACACACTGAAAGGAATCATTTAAACTCCTTGTACACATTGCTAGCTTCTAAATTAATTTTAACTGGTCAGAAAAGAGATTTGGACATCATGGTGGAGAGCTCAATGAAAATCTCTACTCCATATGCAGTAACAATCCAAAAGTAAACAAAATGTTACAACATAAGAAATTGGATGGAAAATAATATAATTATAAAAAGCAATACTACGTGCTCTTTTGGGATATTATATTCCATTTTGGTCACATTCTCAAAACAGTATTGTAAAAATTAGGAATTGGGTAATGGGTGACAATTTTAAGGCTATGAAAAGCTTTCTATGTGAGGAAAGACTGATAAGATTGGGACAGTTGTTTAGAGAAGATGAAGAAGAGGGGAATATATCAATATACAAAACAATGACTGGCAGAGAAAAAAAGTAAACCAGGTGCTCCTTTTTATCCTTGTAAGACAAGAAGCAGGGTGCTGTCTATAGAATAGAAAGGCAGCAAATATAAAAAAAATAAAAATATGATACATGCAGCATGGTTAATGTGGAATGCTTTGCCAGTAGACGTCATTCAGGTCAACAGCTTGGTGGATTTGAGAGGATTAGACATTTAAGATAAACAATTATATTAGGTAAAATTAAAATTAGAAGTGATAAACCCTCATGCTTCAGGGAATGAGCAAAACTACGACAGGAAGAAATTCCCCTACTGGCATATTCTACAATTACCCATTTTGGGGCTTCACACATTTCCTCTGAAGCAGCTGATATGAGGCACTATTAAATACAGCATTACTGAACTATATACACATCCTTGGCCTCATGCACTGGTCCTAGAGGGAAAATTGGGTGGACTTTCAGGATGTTGTACTCTCCTGTACACAGAGACATTTGGATGTGATCTCAGAATGTCATCTAATTTTGCATTATAACTTGAGACTGGTTCCGTGCCTCATTAAGACTTTTTGGAAGCACATTTTGTGAAAACACACTCAGGGAAAGACACTGACACCTGATACTTGTTGCCACTGGAGACATTTTTCTGTAAAAGATCACTAATATGATTAAGTTTTGAATCTTTGCTATAGTGTAAAGTTATGTCCACAGCTATGCTTATTTTGATACTTGGTTGAGTAATGCTCTGTTCATGGTCTCAAAAAGTTATTGATTAATTTGAGTCATTTCCAGCACTTGGCAAGTTATGAGTTGGTCTGTTTCTCTGGGCAGGACATTAATTAGAATGTTGTTCATGGATGGACATAAATGTGTATCTTGTGACCTGAGCTTGTTGCAACTACTTCCAAGGTGTTCCTTGAGACTCTGGGTGCAGAAGGTAGATCAATGGAACAGATCGTGTACAGGAACTGTAAGCTCTCTCACATAAATGCTTGTGTTATCTTTAGAGACCAAGGTAAGGAGGCCATAACTTTGGGACAACTTCTGTTTTTGAGAGAGAAGCTTTTGAGCCACGCACAACTTGTCTTCAGGTCTGGGGAAGGTACTCCAAATATCACAGCTAAATGCAAGGTGGAACAGATTGTTTAGCATAACTAGTTAGTACATACTGAAAGGGACCATTCAAGGTAAAGCGGCCCTTTAACACCTCTGGAGGCAGAAGACAAAAAGAGGGGGTTAGTGAGTTACGAATTGTTGTAATAAGCCATAAATCCAGTGTCTCTGTTCAGTCCATTCTTTAGTGTCTACAAGTTGTGAATTTAAGCTCCCATGCTTATCTTTTGAAAAAGTGTTGTGCAGGTTTCCTTTGAGGATGAGGGCTGATAGGTCAGATATAGGTGTTCACCCACAGGGTGTTTTTGTCTTATAGGACACTCTAGTAGAGAAGCACATCACATCATGGAACAGGCCACCTAAATACTGACAGAATTTGCTTCAATACAGAAATAAAACGTCCTCCAATCACCTACCATGCCACTCTGGAACTCATACAGGGTGTCATCAAAAAGCTACAACCCACTCAATATGGGCCTGATCCTGAAAGAACTCTTTCCTGAACCTATTCTTCTGGTTTTCAAACAACCCTCCAAATCTTCAAGATCATCATCAGAAGCAAGCTCCCACAGACCAGGACACACCAACTCAAAGTGGTACCTGGGAGCTTAAATCTGTAACATCTTTACATAAGAGCAGCCCCCACAAACATACTTTTCTCCTTTGCCTTCCCATTCTGATGGTACAAACCCGATTTTTATACCACTTGTTCCTTAAACATAATTTACTTTTTTTCTGAATTGGGGAGACTGTCTTTTTAGGACCCAGAGTCTCTGGAATTTGCAAGCTACACCCCTTACAGCATTTTAAGGTGTTCTTTTCTCCTTTGGAATTCTCCTGCTCCTGCTTGAGCCTTCTAATGGTGGAGTGGTAGCTTCATGTGGGGGGGAGGCGAGTCCCTAACATGCTGGTCCAACTCAGAACCCCATGACCTGGCAATGCTAGGGTTGGTGCACAGCACAGCATAGCCACACCTCAGACTCTGGGGAAGCTGAATTTTATAAATACTGCACTGCTTATATGTAGCTTGCTGCTTTGCAGTGCTTCTCTGATACCCTAGCGGAGGCAGAGGGAGCCTGCTAGAGAGATACAGTACCACAGAGTTAAAGTCTCAGTGTTGTGGGGATTCCTCAGCGAGAGAGAGAGAGAGAGAGAGAGAGAGAGAGAGAGGAAGGAGCTTAAGCTGAAATGAAGCGTCTACTTTTTATTAATTTTCATGAAGTGACGTTCTAAACAAAGTGGTGGAGAGAAACTGAACTTGTCAAGGTTCCTCCCCCACTCTGAACTCTAGGGTACAGATGTGGGGACCTGCATGAAAACCTCCTCAGCTTACTTTCACCAGCTTAGGTTAAAACTTCCCCAAGGTACAAATTAATTTTATTCTTTGTCCCTGGATCTCCACTGCCACCACCAAACTCTAACTGGGTTTTCTGGGAAACGTAGTTTGGACATGCCTTTCCCCCCAAAATCCTCCCAACCCTTGCACCCAACTTCCTGGGAAAGGTTTGGTAAAAATCCTCACCAATTTGCATAGGTGACCACAGACCCAAACCCTTGGATCTGAGAACAATGAAAAAGCATTCAGTTTTCTTACAAGAAGACTTTTAATAGAAGTAAAGAAATCCCCTCTGTAAAATCAGGATGGTAGATACCTTACAGGGTAATTAGATTCAAAACATAGAGAATCCCTCTAGGCAAAACCTTAAGTTACAAAAAAAGACACACAGACAGAAATAGTCATTCTATTCAGCACAGTTCCTTTCTCAGCCATTTAAAGAAATCATAATCTAACACATACCTAGCTAGATTACTTACCAAAATTTCTAAGACTCTATTCCTGTTCTATCCCTGGGAAAAGCAGCATACCGACAGACCCAGACCCAGACCCTTTGTTTCTCTCCCTCCTCCCAGCTTTTGAAAGTATCTTGTCTCCTCATTGGTCATTTTGGTCAGGTACCAGCGAGGTTACTTTTAGCTTGTTAACCCTTTACAGGTGAGAGGATTTTTCCTCTGACCAGGAAGGATTTTAAAGGGGTTTACCCTTCCCTTTATATTTATGACAGTGGTGGAGAGAAACTGAACTGTCAAGTTACTCTGCTGCCAGAGGCAGAATATCTGGTGACCTGAGGGGAAGGATATTGCTTGGTCTTAAAGTGCCCATCAACAACATTGGAGAGCTTCCAAGTTCCAAAAGTGAGAAGCATTACCCCTTACATCAAAAGGGAAGCTGTGTATTAGGAAAAAAAAAAGAAAATATCAGGGAAATGAAAATTTTTTTTTATGACAAATCAGGGAAATGAAAAAAATGAAAAATAAAATTAATGAGAAGTGCTGGTAGAGTAGTACCACTTTCAACAATTCAGTAAGGACTGGAAGTGTTAATTGATTGACATTTCACTTCTGAGAAAAAGCTTTTATTTAAAACCATCTTCCCTACATCAAGAAAATAAAAAACCCACATCTGATAGAACTCTTGGTTTTATTGAAGGCCCTACTGTTCATTTTACTCAACCACATACAAGCAGTTATTGATATAAACACACAAAAATGGAAAACAGGCTTTTGTTTTAGTATACCCCTCCTCCTTCAACAAGCTCAAACCCACTTTACAGCACTGCGCTCGGAGTACAAAATGAAACTGACTATACATAAGTCCAGCTTTCAGCATCTTGAGTGAAACACAAAAAGTCAAACAGCAAAATTAAACTGATTGTTATTTTTTAAAGTATAAAGTATAGTAATATTCTATAAAAACATAAAACAGGAATAGGTATTTAACTAACACCCTTTTAAATTTTCTTTCTTGAAAATAAATCAGTATTACTACTGTAACTTAAGGAAAATACACCCATTTTGGCCAACAGTTTTGCAGCTGATGCTTTATATCTAGGGAATGAATCTGCTTAATAGACTTATAATGGAGCCCAGCATTTTTCACCCTTTTGTCACTATTTTGATTATACCCCACAATGGTACCAGTGACCTAAAGTCACTGACATCTGTTAGTAGCCTACAGAAATGAGTTGGAGGAATCACGCTAATTACTAGTAGAGAGGCCTATGTCAGAATACCGCAATACCATTTGCTACCTTGAAATTTCTAACGAGGCCAATGATGGAAAGACAATAAAAATACTGTAACTGTTTCTGAATATACAAAGTTTGAGCTAATGTGATTCTAAAATATGCCCAGTCTTATCTCTATGGGTTTCCATTTAACAAGCTCTTTAATAAATGAGGGAAAGGTTTACTGCTGGTCTGGAACAGAACACCCAGTAACTGTCAAGACATTGTTGATATGAAAGATTATGATGATGATGATGATATAATATGAAGAATTGAAAAAATTAGTGCGATAGGGAAGGAATACTTAAAGACAGTAACAGCTTAAATGAGATTTTGGTGTAAAAACAAATGTGATTTATGTACACTGGATGCACAGCAGTTTTACTATTTTGATCTGCTTTCAGAAGACAACACAACACATGGCCTGGGACCTCTGTGGCTTTTTTGAGGGAAGAAAGACAGATTCTGATCTGTTCTGATCAGAAAGAGAAAAACAGCTGCTGAGTCAATTATAAAATTTTGCAGCTACTTAGTGTGGCACAACATTTTTATAAGACAAGATAGCTTGAACTGCAGTGCTGCTTAAAACAACCATGGGCTACTTAATGGAGCTACTCTACATTAACCTACATAAATGAAAACTGTAGGGATCTCCTCTCTTCTGAAAATTTGTCAATAAAATGTTAGAACAGGACACAACTCTTTAACCCATTAAATTATCTCACTCACTCACACGTACTTCACCAAGAAACTGAACACTGACTCTGAAGAAAGCTAATTCAGAACTTTTAAACACATCTTGGGTACAGGAAAAAGACCGAAGAGGGTTGTAATCCCAGTCCTCAAAGGATTCAGCCAAGCTATTAAAGCCCATTGTGGGCTTCAGAGAGCTAAATGAGAGGAAAGTACCAGGCCTATTTCCCATGTCAGGAGCAAAGCTCATCATCAATGCAATATAGGGAAACTTTCACCATTACTTATGCAACACTTACAGTGGCTAAAGACTTCATTGTCCAACGCTATCAATCGTGCACTTTTCCACTATTACTAAACTCACTGAAAGTTAGGAAGCTAAAATGCTCAACATTGACAAACACCAAAAAGTATCATTTCTGAGAAGTAAAAGTTTGATATTAACAATACTGAAGTTTTACCTCTAAATATTCAGTAAGCTTTTATTATCCTCCTGCACTGACTTGTATAATACAGTGTTCCATTGGCTAATCCTAAATTAAGGCATTCCAAAGAAGATTGGTTTAAATTAACTCAAAAAAAAAAAGATGCACAGAGCCAGTATTAACAACCATCACTTTTCACTGAATTAGTGAGATTGATTTCGGAGATCAAAACTTGTTTCACTCTTACAACTAAATAATAAAGAACATTAATAGCATCCTCTGAAGAAAGCCAAATTTCACAGAAATTTCACTGCAGAAACATCTGTGAGAAGCAGGAAAGTCAATGTATAATCTGTGATATTGCAAACTTGACAGAAAAAATATCAGGGTCTTTAGAGACCACCACTAAAGAATACAGATAAGACTCTTTAATAGCAGCTTTGTGAGATTATCTTAGACAATCACTGGTATCTTGAGTAAGACTTATTTGTTACAAGAGGTAGTCTACTATTTGTGTTTAAATTGACAATAAAAGTCTTTGAGCCATTCACTTGTTATTCCTGTAAATGGCACTGATTTGAAAGATTAAGACTAACAATATCCAAATATTTTACTCGCAAAATTAACTTTTTTATTTAAATAGGTCATAAAAACCAATATATCATCTTCGTAGTTACATGGTGAACTGTTCAATATGTGGAGACTTCACAATCCATGATCCGTAGCCATGATGCTGAAAGTAGCTTTTCAGCAAACGTTTAGCTTCCTGGTAGGGTGCTGACTTAATCTAAAGAGAAACAAAAGTTAAAAAATTGTTACAGATGGCCACAAGATTTGCCCTTTTTAATACATTGTGCCTCTAGGATATTCCATAGCAAAACATGGTTTTGAAACATGCCTGAGATGCCACTGTTCACTGAATGCGAAACAAGAAATGCAGCAGATAGGGCAAAGGGAAAAACAGGATTTGACTGATAAGAAATGATATGCTTTTATGTACTGGAAAAGGAAAATTGTTTTTTTGGTAAAATTAATCTCATGTTTTTCAACATCAGTTTAACTACTCATTCTCTACGCCATGCTAGTATTTAGCTATGTATTGCATGAATCTAAAACCAGGTAAATTTACAATGGTAGCTTTGAAACCATTGAAAAGGTTTAGCAGGATATCTAATTTAACAATTCTTATAGAAATAAAGCGTAGCCAATGCTGACAAAAGTCATCATAATATCTGTTAGAAAAGCAAATTCTATGTGCAGCTTCATGGAAAAAAGAGAAAATACGTATCTTGTCTCAGAAAAAAAAATAGGAAGGGCTAAGGTACAAAAATGGTTGAATGCCTGGGAGGGCGTAAACCTAACCATCTGAAATGAGACTAGATATTCCGCTTCTCAGCACGTCTATGAACGAGCAAGCTTTCCCCAGCAACTTTACAGGAGGATAGGAATTTAATCTCAGTATGCTCCTCATTATGAGTAGTCTGTTTATTGCATGGGGGAGGGGGAGGGGGGAAGAGAAGAGAAGAAGAGAGTTACCATAGCATCACAGTTCCAAGATAATACAGCTAGTAAGAACAGCATTCTTTCTTCAATTAGTGCTCCCTCAGTGTTCTCAGCCCAAAAACATAAGATCACGCTCAGTCCCAAGTTCTGATGTTGAATTATCACCTTCTCCCCCACTTCTGTTGATATCCCTTTCCCACCAGTGTATTCCCTGGGAGAACAGTGCCTATACTTACGCAAAGTAAGCATCTCTCTAGTGCTAAGAGTGGAACAAAAACCTGCAGAACTTTCCAATATCAATATCAAGCTAGCCATTGTGAGGAAATGGTTGGCAGCCATTTGTGGATGAAGATCAAATGTGAAAGTTTCAACCCAACAAAAGATACTTCTCAATTTGTAAACTTAAGGAACAGTTTTGTATGGACTTTCTAACATTAACTTTACAACAACTATCAAGGTTAAGTCCTGCAGAATTTCAGTATAACTAATAGTTCATGGATTTCTGTTATGGGGTGTATTGGGCCCTCTGAGGCCCCTAACTGGAGGCCTCGTGGTCCTACCACACCCAGCCCCAGAAAAGAAGCAAAATGAATCATAGAATATCAGGGATGGAAGGGACCTCAGGAGGTCAGCTAGTCCAACCCCCTGCTCAAAGCAGGACCAATCCCTAACCAAATCATCCCAGCCAGGGCTTTGTCAAGCCTGACCTTAAAAACCTCTAAGGAAGAAGATTCCACCTCCTCCCTAGGTAACGCATTCCAGTGCTTCACCACCCTCCTAGTGAAAAAGTTTTTCCTAATAGTCAACCTAAATCTCCCCCACTGCAACTTGAGACCATTACTCCTTGTTCTGTCATCTGCTACCACTGAGAACAGTCTAGATCCATCCTCTTTGGAACTTCCTTTCAGGTAGTTGAAAGCAGCTGTCAAATCCGCCCTCATTCTTCTCTTTCGCAGACTAAATAATCCCAGTTCCCTCAGCCTCTCCTCATAAGTCATGTGCTCCAGCCCCCTAATCATTTTTGTTGCCCTCTACTGAGCTCTCTCTCCAATTTTTCCATATCCTTCTTGTAGTGTGGGGCCCAAAACTGGATACAGTACTCCAGATGAGGCCACGCCTATGCCGAATAGAGGGGAATGATCATGTCCCTCGATCTGCTGGCAGTGCTCCTACTTATACAGCCCAAAATGCTGTTAGCCTTCCTGGCAACAAGGGCACACTGTTGACTCTCATCCAGCTTCTTGTTCACTGTAACCCCTAGGTCTTTTTCTGCAGAACTGCTGCCTAGCTGCTTGGTCCCTAGTTTGTAACAGTGCATCGGATTCTTCCATCCTAAGTGCAGGACTCTGCACTTGTCCCTTTTGAACCCTCATCAGATTTCTTTTGGCCCAATCCGCTAATTTGTCTAGGGCACTCTGTATCCTATCCCTACCCTCCAGTGTATCTACCACTCCTCCCAGTTTAGGGTCATCTGCAAACTTGCTAAGGGTGCAATCCACGCCATCCTCCAGATCATTAATGAAGATATTGAACAAAACTGGCCCCAGGACCAATCCTTGGGGCACTCCGCTTGATACTGGCTGCCAGCTAGACATGGAGCCATTGATCACTACCCGTTGAGCCCGATGATCTAGGCAGCTTTCTACCCACCTTATAGTCCATACATCCAATCCATACTTCTTTAACTTGCTGGCAAGAATACTGTGGGAGACCATATCAAAAGCTTTGCTTTCCCCTCATCCACAGAGCCAGTTATCTCCTCATAGAAGGTAATTAGGTTAGACAGGCAATTAGGTTAGTCAATAAAGGTGGATCCTGCAGCCCTGTCTAGAAAGGCTGCAAGGAAGCAGCCAAATCAGAAAATAGCAGGCTTAGTTAAAAGGTGCTGCAGGGCCTGAGCAGATCAGTTCCTGGCTGGGACCAGAAGAGATAAGACAGAAAGATTCTCCGGGCAAGGAGGCCTGGGGGAGACCCTGCGCATACAGGGAACAAGACAAATAGAACCCAAGGACTGTATCCTAAGGTAACAGGTGAATGTGATGGGACTGAGTGGGAAGCAGCCAAGGAACAGCAGCAGCAACCAAGTAAAGGAAGCAGTACATAGCTGCTGTCTATAGGGTTCCTGGGTAGGGATCCAGAGTAATTAGCAGGTCCAGTTCCCCCCACCAGCCACTGGAGCAGTGTCCAGGTAGGAGATAAGACTCTGGATTAGAAAACCCAAGAAAGGGGCTGGGAATTATAAACAGGCCTATGGATGGGGCTGAAGACCATGAGGGGGGGCAACCATTCGTTGAACCTTTGCTATCCCGAAAGGGGACTCAAGTCAAGAAGTGACTTGCGTTGGTTGAGAGCTGGGAAACCACAGAAAGGCTAAAGACAAAATGTCTCGATAACAAGGCAGGGACAGATAAAGCTAGCCCAGAAGGGGTGAGATCTGAGCCCAGAGACAGGACTGCAGGTAACGACAAGGGCACAGTGACTGGCCCTGTTGGACCTTTATTACCCCAGAAGGGATTCCTTCATGCATGTTGACTGTGTGTGACTTGACCGGAGGGCTGGGCCACTGAAGACCCATCTGACGAGGTTAACAGCTGGCACAGGGCACCAGGAGCAGAGAGTGAGCGTGCAGGTTTGCACACAACTGATAGGAGACACTTACGAGAGGTGAGTGGCCCCGTCACAACTTCACTTGCAAATAACCAATTTGCAAGCCTTTGAGACAAAGGTCATTACTGCTGTAAGAAATGCTCAACCATTCACATAACATCTCCAGCATACTAGAAATCTTTCCTTGTCACCTATCTGCACCTTGAAAGTGACCACTAAAATGTCATTTACTGTTTTTTCTTTAACTAGTCTTACCTTTGCTTCATGATATGTACTAGCTTCAAGCAAATCACTTCTTTTCGCTTCCTTAGAGACCAGTTTGAAACGATTTAACATTGCAGCCTTGCAAAGACGGCTTGCCATTGAAGTGCCACTTTTGAATGGCGAACTAGAATTGAGGGGGGGGAAAAAAGCAATGAGTCAAATTAAGAAATCTGTTATTCAATTCAGTTTCTATTTGCTCCAGCTACCACATTTGAAATAAAGATTATCTGTTTCAAATTATGTAGGTGATATGTTCTCCACTTAGAGCAGAAATAAACAATGGAATCAAAAAGTATAAACCTCCATAATTACAGCTACTGGAAGGTTGGCCAAATCTTTTCAATCCTGTAATCTACCAGATCAGAGATACCACTGGTTTTAGTCAAACTATTACGTATACTCAATCTCTTCAAGGTTGTATTGCTGACGGGAGATAAAGGGGAGAAAAGAGCGTCTTAATTTCAATAAAGGAGGACTACCTAATTTCATATTTTGGTGCTTCACTGACAATCTTGCTTCTTAAACTGCGCCCAATTGTAGGAAGGATGCGGTTAGCGTAGACTAATAGATTCTAAAGCAAGAAGGGACCACTATGATCATCTAATCTAGTCTTAACTCCAGTATAACATAGGCTATAGGACTTCCGTGAATTAATTCATGTTTGAACTAGACTAGAGTATATCTTTTTGAACAACATCCACACAACGTAAACATTTCAGTGATGGAGAATCGACCACAACCCTTGGTAAATTGTCCCAATGATTAACTACCCTTCATGTTATAAATTGTGTCCTGTTTCCAGTTTCAATTAGCATAGCTTCAACTTCCAGCCACTGGATCTTGTTATACCTTTTATCATTTATACTGAAGAGTCCATCATCAAATTTTTGTTCCCAAACAGGTTTGCACACAACTGATACTTTAATCAAAGCACCCCTTAACTTTTTTTTTCTTAGAACTAAACACACTGAGCTCCTGGAGTCTATTGCTGTAAAGATGTTTTCTAATCCTTTAACCATTCTCATGGCTCTTCTCTGAACCCTCTCCAGTTTATCAACATCCTTCTTTAATTATTGATGTCAGAAGCAGCAGTTCCTCACCTTGTGCAGTAACTGCAGTTCTTCGAAATGTGTGTCTCTATGGATGTTCCACTTCAGGTGCACATAAGAAAGGCCTACCGGGTCAGACCAAAGGTCCATCTAGGCCAGTACCCTGTCTTCCGACAGTGGCCAGTGCCAGGTGCCCCAGAGGGAATGAACAGAACAGGTAATCAAGTGATCCAGCTTATTCCCATCACTTATTCCCAGCTTCTCATGTGCCTCTCAAGCTTTTGATTGGAGATTTTCCATTAGCAGTTCAGCCTGCGCTCTTTTCTAATCCTCCTTGTGCTGCATTCAGAGGCTACATAGGGGTGCGCAGGTGAACTGTCTTCAGTTCCTTCTCCAACTGAACATCCCACAGAGAACAGTCTGATACAGAGGGGAAGGAGGGCTGGTAGCGGAGCCCCCACAGAGAGACACATCACGAAGAATAACAATTATCACAAAAGATGAATAACCTCTTCTTCTTCTTGAGTAGCGTCCCTATGAGTGCTCCACTTCAGGTTTCACCCAAACAGTAGCCCCACAGGGAGTAGGGAACTTAAAAATTGAATGTAGAACTGAGGACAGTACTGCATTACCAAGTGCCACATCGGGCAGCATGGATCAAGGTGTAATGTTTAGAAAATTTATGTACAGAAGCTCATGTAGTAGCCCTACATAATATCAGATACTGGCACATTCCCGAGTAATGCTATAGATGTTGCTTACGATCTGGTAGAATGTACTATCACCCTTTGGTGGGAGGGGAAGAAAGAGAGGAACACTGGCTGCATCATAACAAGTGATAATACACCCAGAGATCAACCTTCACAGTGTCTGAGCGGATATCGTGTACCCCTTGGATCTATGCTCCACTCCCTGCCCGGCTCCAGCCCTGGGCTTGCCTGCACTCACCCCCAACTCTGGCAGCCCAGGCTCGCCAGCTTGCAGCACTCTCACAGCACCCACCCCCTGACCATGGAGACCACAGTAGATGTGTACATCGCCCACCCCCATGGCCAGCCCCATGCAGACAACTCCTTATAGTGGGCCAAGGGCTTCCTGAATTGTCCTGACCAGACCCAATAAAGTTATGAATATGTCTGAGGGAAGGTAGGTCCTGGATGTCAATGAATCCAAGTATACCCCTATGAGCTATTTTCTGTACAGGCGTAAAAGTGATTTTTTTTTTATTCAGCTGGAGCCCCAATTCCTAGACAAGAGCAAAGGCTGTCTGAGTTGAAGAGAACAGTGCTTTGTAGGAATAGCCTTTAAGTAGCCACTCTTTGAGGCATGGGAAAACTAGGGTCACTTCTCATCACAGGTAAACCACCACTATTGCCAGAAACTTTGAGAACACCCTTGGGGCTGAAGAAAGGCCGTAGGGAAATACTGTATTGGAAACAAGCCTGGTATACAGTGAAGTGTAGGTATTTTCTCTCTGACAGGTGTGTCATTATATAGAAATAGGTCAAGGGCTGAAAACCAATTACCCTCCTCCAGTGAAGGAGCTATAGCTGCCAGAGTCACCATCCTGAACCTCTAAGACAGTGGCTCTCAAACTTTTGTATTGGTGACCCCTTTCACACAGCAAACCTATGAGTGCGACCACCCCCACCCTTATAAATTAAAAATACTTTTCTTTCTTTTTTTTTTAATATTTAACACGATTATAAATGTTGGAAGTGAAGTGGGGTTTGGGGTGGAGGCTGACAGCTCGCGACCCTGCACGTAATAACCTTGCAACCCCCTAAGGGGTCATGACCCCCAGTTTGAGAACCCCTGCTTTAAGACTTAAACTTGTTTAGAAGTCTTAGTCCCAACATCAATCTCCACCCTCCATTTTTCTTTAGCACAAATAAATATTCTGAGTAAAAATCTTTGCCCTTGTGAAGAGGTGGTACCAGCTGTATTGATCATAACTGAAGGAAAGAGTCCACTTCTTGTCTCAATAAAAGCTTGTGAGAAGGGGTCCTGAAGAGGGACAAGAAGGGAAATGGAAGGAAAGTAGGTATATAAAATGGAAAGTGTAGCCCAATGTTATGACCTCTATGTCCTGCTTGTTTGCTGGGCAGGAATAACCTGCTCGATGCTCAGGAATGTGACGCAGGAGGGGTGCAGAGTGCGGGAGGGGGCTCAGGGCAAGGGGCTGGTGTGCAGGAAGGGTGCAGGGTGTGGCAGGGGGCTCAGGGCAGGGAGTTGGGTGCAGGAGGGGTTCGGGGTGTGGGCTCTGGCCCAGCGCTGCTTACCTTGAGCGGCTCTGGGGTGGCACCAGGGCTAAGGCAGGCTCCCAGCCTGCCCTGGCCCTATGCCACTCCTGGAAGCGGCCAGCATCACATCTCTGCAGCCCCTGGGAAAGGTTGGGGGATGGGGGGGCAGAGGGCTCCGTGCACTGCCCTCGCCTGTGGGTACCTACCCCAAAGCTCCCATTGGCCACAGCTTCCTGTTCCCAGCCAATGGGAGCTGCAGGAGGCAGTGCCTGCAGGCGAGGGCAGCGCATGGAGCCCTCTACATCCCCGCCGCACCCGCCAGGGGCTGCGAGGATGTGGTGCTGGCCACTTCTGGGAGCAGCGCAGGCAGGAAGCCTGCCTTAGCCCCGCGGTGCCACAGGGGTGGCGATCACGTAGGCCAGATCCAAAGCCCTTACAGGCCGGATCTGGCCCACGGGCCATAGTTTGCCCACCCCATCATAGATAAATGGAGAAAGAAGAAGGTTGCCACTGGTTCAAATGGAAGTCTCATGGAAGTCTTTGATCTGGGGGCAGAGATTTCCCCAAACCCTTAATAAACCTAGGACAACGCCGGCTGAGCAAATATGAAGAACCTTTGTACTGGGGGATGAAAAACTGATACCGCAGCCAAATGGACCTCAGCTGAGCTAACAGCCTAATTCTTTTATAACTACAGGTAATTCAGGAAGACAGAATAGCACAGATTCAGGCACAAGTTGTAGGCGACACCACCAATGGAAGAAACTCACTTACAGAAATGGCAGAGAAATACGGGTTAACTCCTTTATAGTGTTGAGTAGCACCTGTTGCACTTCCACAGAACAGGAGGATTCTAACACGGTGAACCATCAATGAACCATATCCTGAGGCAGAGAACCTCGAGGTTGGAGCAAAGTGCACAACCCCCATCCTGGGAGAGGAGAGAAGGGATGGTCATAAGCTTGAATGACGGTTTGGTGCAAACCTGAAGCAGGTAAAGTTCCCAAGCCTGTTTCAGCCAGGTCAGTATTATAAGAATAGCTCTGGCTTTGCCCTTCATGATCTTGTTCATCACCCTTCGTGGTGGTAGAAGGAACCCATATAGCAAACTCTTTTTCCAAGACAGAAGAAAGAGTGGTGCCCCAGACCCCACCTTGAGCAGAATAAAAGATGGTTCTTGTTCCTGGAGATGGTGAAGAGATCCACTTCTGGCAGACTCCATCTTTGTACTATGTATGTACTATGGAGAATGTACTATGGAGAATTTGAGAGTCTAGCTCCCATTAATAGTCCTGACAGAAGCATCTGCTGAGAATAATCCGAACACATGGGAGGTAGGACCACAGAAATTTGGATCTGATGAGCTACATACCAGTTCCACAACTTCACCACACTTCATTTTGCTCGTCCCTGCTTGTTGACACAGAACATGCAGGGAATGTTATCCATCAGGACCCTGATTTATTTACCCTGATGAAGGGCAGGAAATGAGAGCAGGCATTCCTGACTGCCCCGAGTTCTAACAGATTGTTGTGGAAACTGGCTTCTTGAGGTGGTGTCCATCTGCCATGAGGGCACTGAAGTGAGCTCCCCATCCCAAGAGTGATGCATCTGATGTCACAGTTACTGATGGGACTGGGTGAGAGAAAGGAATGCCTGCACAGACGTTGAGTGGATCTTTCCCCCAGGCCAGGGAGTTCTTTATTTGGAGAGAAATCATCTCATGCCTGCCCAAAGTGCCTCTGGCTAAAACAGCTTGTTTTGAGCCAATCCGAGAAGCAGCAGAGGCGTACCTGTTCATGATTGGTCACAAAAGTACAAACTACCGGAGG